GAGGAGATCGATATTGCGCCATAATAACGATCGACGTCAAGAATGCGTTCAACAGCGCCAGCTGTTAGGCCATCGCCGAAGCACTGCAAAGAATGAGGGTCCCTGACTACCTGTGCAGGATCCTGAGGAGTTATTTCCAGAACCGGGTTCTGGTCTACGAGACAGACATGGGACTGAGATCGATTAGGATCACAGCGGGAGTTCCACAAGGCTCCATCCTTGGTCCAACGCTCTGGAATGGGATGTACAAAGGCGTGCTAACGCTGAAACTGCCCAAAGGAGTTGAGATCGTTGGCTTTGCGGACGACGTCGTCTTGACGGTAACAGGCGAGACGCTGGAAGTGGTGGAAGTGTTGTCAACCGAGGTAATCGACATGATTGGTAACTGGATGCAAGGAGCGAAGCTGCAGATAGCCCACCACAAAACGGAAGTGTTATTGGTCAGTAACTGTAAAGCGGTATAGCGGGCAGAAATCACCGTCGGGGAGCACATCATAGCCTCGAAGCGTGTGTTAAAATACCTGGGAGTGATCATCGATGACCGGCTAAACTTCAACAGCCACGTCGAATATGCCTGTGAGAAGGCTTCGAAGGCCATCAACGCGATAGCTAGAATCATGCCAAACAACGCTGGTCCCAGCAGTAGCAAGAGGCGTCTTCTGGCCAGCGTGTCATCATCGATACTGAGATATGGAGGTCCAGCCTGGGTTCCAGCGCTGGAAACGAAGCAGAACCAAAGGAAACTGAGCAGTACGTTCCGGCTCATGGCCATGCGAGTCGTGAGTGCGTACAGAACCATCTCGTCGAAAGCAGTATGCGTTATCGCCGGTATGATCCCAATCGGCATCACCCTGGCGGAGGACAGCGAGTGCTACAGGCGGAGAGAAGCCGGAAGAGTACGGAAAGTTGTGAGAGTGGAGTCATTGGCTAAGTGGCAACAGGAGTGGAACACGACGGAGAACGGTAGATGGACACAAAGACTAATACCGAATCTTTCGACCTTGGTGAACAGAAAACACGGAGAAGTCAATTTCCACCTAACGCAGTTCCTGTCTGGCCACGGCTGCTTCAGGGAATACCTGCATCGGTTCGGACACGCAGCGCCACCCCTCTGTCTGGAGTGTGGCAACGTCGATGAAACGCCGGAGCATTTGGTCTTCAACTGTCCAAGGTTCGAGGCAGTGCGAACGGAGTTGCCCGTCCTTACCGTGGAGAATGTCGTCGTTGAAATGTGTCGAGAGGAGGACACTTGGAATGCCGTCAGCAGGGCTGTCACGCAGATTATGTCGGAGCTGCAGCCTAAATGGAAAGAAGAGCAGCGATCTAGCAACGCCAGCTAGCGCTGAGAGTACAACAAGTGCATGAGCACGGCCACCCCTCGAAGTAGTCGCTTTACAGTGGTCCCGGGGGGATCCAGGCAGAGGAGAGAGTAAGGAATGGGTTTTAGTGGAGCTGTACTAGGCAACTAGTGGATACCACACCGTTCCAACTTCACTACAGGCTAGGCTTCTTGAAGCTTTCCTAAACCTTACTATAAAAAAAGAAAAAAAAAACACATGCATAACGTACATTATTTTCAACTAGCCCCTCAACCCCCCTTCCCCTGCTTTGATTTTGCCACCACTGCACTTTTAATTCTCGAAAAATGTCATTCTTGAGCTAGACAATCAATAAAATACGAATACGACTGTACAAAACAGTCCACCTCAACCAAAACTAATTGAATCATATAGGCTGACAAAATCGGGTTAAAAAGCTGACAAAATCGGGGGTAGACAAAATCGGGGGCTGACAAAATCGGGTCACCACTGTATTCCCAAAAACAAAAGAAGCGCTCCGACCGAATCAATTTTTATCTTCATCCGATAGGCCGAAGTGAATTCATTGGCATTCCAATGGTGTTTCAATGCGTTAGGCCGAGTTTAGAATCCGTAGGCCGAATTTGGCGTCAAGAAGCAGTGTTAGCCTTTGACAATATCTCAACGATTGGTTGCTCTTTATTCAATCTTACGGTATGTACGGAAAAGTAAAAAAAATTTGAAAGCCATCAGTAATAATAACATTCCGTTTGTTGCCAAACTGCGCTAGATTAAGAAAGACTAAGTGCGGGTTGTGCTTAATAGGCCGGAAATGGGGTAGTTAACCCTATCTGCATTTTTGGGGGTTAACTGTGATAAAAGTTTAGCTTGTTTACCTAAAACAAGTTTTTTTTTAAGGAATACCCGTTGGTTAGTTGTGTGTGAATTTGAAAGGCGCTTATTCAACCTTTTCCCGGTTATCCAATAATCACTACACATCTTTCTCTTGAGGCCGGGTTAAATACTGTTTATGCTCTTTTATGAAGGAATTTATTGAGTTTATTTTGCTGTGAAATCAATTAATCTAAATAAGCTACAAATCATCACCAAATTATTTACCCTGCACCGGAACCTGGAATCGAACTCGAGACGACCTCATTATTGGCAAACCTTGACACTACCAACCCAACTAACATTTTCAGCTTTGTAAGCCAACTTTTCCAGCGGTGTGCTGTAAAGTAGCTGAAAAGAAGCTGTAGATACAGCTACAAGCAAAAGCTAGCAAAATAGTTTTGGAGAGCGTTTGCTCAAGTTTCTCACCACCATTATTCAATTTGTCAGTCGCACTGAATAACAACAGCCAGTAAACGCTAATGTCACTTCTATACACACACTAATCAACTTTCCACTTGTAGCTGCAAAACAAAGCTAACAAAGTGAATATATTACTCATTTGATGCCTTCTACACAACCAACCATTCTTGCTGAGTAACATAAACATCAAAAGTGCTTTTTCAACAACTAAACAACCTGTACTCAGCTTATAAACTGTGTTAGAGCAACTTCGGAAGCATTTTCACAGTAAACTAGGTTTATTTTTAGGCGTGTGCTGTTTTACAGCTTTTACTCTGCTTTTTTTTAATAACTAGTCGAGAAAAGTGATTCCTGAGCACTATTATAAAGCCTCTACTCCGCGATTTTGTTGTAGAAGGGAATCTTGATTTGTTTACATAAGTTCAAAGTGTTGGCGTAGCACGGTCCCCAACTTACAATTTTCACAGAGTTAGTAGTAATAATGGAGCTAGAAAACAATTATTAGTCGTATAATAAAGCATGTTATTAAATCAATTGAAAACAGTCGAATTAAAGCGTCAATGTATGTGCAAATTACACTTATTCAGTATGTTATTAGATCAAACTTCTGGTGTTGAATCAGGCAGACAGTCATCGTTTGTATAGCTTTTAATAAGTATATTAATCAAATCAGAGCAAACAGCATAATAACGGCGCATCTATCGATCTCGATGAGGTTTTATCAGCTTACAACCCGTTTTATTCAGCATTGTACACTGTTGTAAAGCATTTATTCAATATATGTATATGCTTATTTGTGACTCTGAATTGTTTGTTGGGTATGTTATGCCACAAAACGATTTTTTTCAATGAAGCCATTCAGTACCAACATTTCAAAAAGGCGAAACTGACAAATGTAAACTAACTGAGTTTTTATAGAAATGGACAACAAGTGATCCAATGCTATGTGACATTTTATAACATTTCACAAGACACATGTTTTGTCACCCTAAATTAACATCAACAAAAAGTTGTAACTGATTTTTTGTAGCATACTATAGAGAAGTTAATTTCGTGTTGGGATTAGATTAGATTTGATTAGATTAGATTAGGGTCAAAATTCATCATGCGAAACCTCAAATCACATGAGAATTCAAAAATTCTCTTCATCTAATTTCTCTTTCGTTAATAACTTGGCTGCATTCATATTTAGAGCTATGTTGTCTACATATAGTCTGCTAAAAGAAAGTATTATTAAGCGTATTGGACGATAAGAACAGCTGAACATGTTTTTGGAGCCGAGTTATTAACGAAAGAGAGAGTCGATAAAGAGAATCAATCATTGGTCTATTTGAAAGGAGACGCGTGAATTTCAACTATCATCTCACATTATATGAGCACTTTTTTTTTCGAAATTTTTATTAGTAAGATGGGTCTGATCTCACCATAGGTGGATTAATCCAGTTGAATCAAGATTATATTAAACAAATTTTACTATTATGTACATCAATATTCAACTTCTCTGATCACGCCTTCCTTCGGATGGGAAGTAAAGCCGTTGGTCCCCGGTTCATGAGTTGATGGGTCGATAGGTAGGAAAACAAGATCGACGGAAAAAACAAACCAAAGAAAAAAAAATATTCAACTTACAATCTATTTCAGTTATGCATTCGTGCTTGGTCCCAGAGCATGAGACTCATGAACGTCAACTAGTAGCGCTACAAAAGTTTCCGGATCTTATTTTTTACATAAGAAAAATGAAACACCATGTGAACAGTAATGAATGATCCCGCATATTGAATATTTAGTCGAAACAAGTTGCTTCAGAAACAAGTTTCATCGTGTGTTCAGTGCTTTGAGCTAATTTGTCATACTGCTGTTCACAATGAGTTTCTCCCATAATGACGTTCAATCTATTCGCTCACAGATGGAGTCACTGAGTTCATGTTGTATGCGATTTGGAATTGCCGAAGTATTTGAAAGTTGTTGTATACGAGCCCTTTATCGTTAATTAATACTTTTCTACTGATCTAAGCTAGTGGGAATGCATCTTCTAAATCCAAAAAAAAAAATCATTTTCATAAATAACTGTATTGAGTACTTGTACCTAAGTCGTGTTATTGCTAAACAACATGTACCAAGAACGAATCATCCTTGAAGCAGCCAATCGATCGGAACATGTCCGTTCTATTCATCGCATTGTTGTCGTTGCTCTTTCCTTAATCCCGTAAACTCTCGCACGATCAGGTCCGAGATTAAAGACGCACGCGAAACCGAGAGAGCATTGCAGTAGGTAGGGTAGCAGAAATGGCCTATTCATACCGAAGGGAACAGTGTGGAATTTCCAGTTTACCTCCGCACAGAACGATCGGGATCTCATCGATTGTCCGATCAGTTATCTCCAAAGAGTTGAGGGCGTTCTATCAGTTTCATTTGATCCATCGGACGAATAGCTAGGATACTGGATTGTTTGGAGTCCTGTGCATGAAGTTGTAGTTTTTTTTTGCATGGCCAAAATTGGTTTTAAGTTGTGCTAATTGTATTTCTTAGCAAGTGAAATACGCAGTTTTTTGTGATTATGTCCGTTCTAGGATTGTGGACGTTGGCGTCCGCATTGGGATGCTGTATTGGATTTACCATAGTCCAAAGACCAGGTGGGTTTCAATAGAATCTATTACAGTGCCATTTTGGATAGAAAAGAGGTGTCTGTGATGTATTGTTAAGGAAATAATGCGTTTAATCTGGGGTCATTGTTCCCCATCTGGATGGCATCAAGCTTTCAGGTCAGCATTCTTCATGTACAACAGGTTTTCTAAAATTGATAGAAACAATTATTACACTCAGTTCTGTTTTTAGTGGTTGTTTTTGTCCGTAGTTTTGCTCGTGTGATCACAAATTGCAACCAAACTTAGTAGTACTTGTTTAAAAAAATAAAATAAAAATAGAAAAATATGGTTGCATTGAAATTTCTGTACTGATCCTAAATGAGGACAACAAAAAATGACAAACGTGTGAAACAGAATTGACTGTATTTTAATGAGAACAAAGATCCATGGAGAAGAGGAAAATAATGGTCTGTTTTGTAATGATTTAATTACATTTGAGTATTACAAAAATATTCCAAGAGCTAGAATCGTAATTTAAGCTTCTGACTCGGCTCACCGATTTTTTTTAATTGGTACTAACGTATGTGAAAATGATTTGGTCACTCAGTGACTGTATAGCTGTTCTGTAAAATAGTGCATCTTATATAATCAATTTCAGGAATCAACGACGATAGTCACATCTTGTGCAGTTGTCAGGAACTGATAGATTTTGCCCGATATTCCCTTCATTCCGGAAATCAAATTCATAATCATTAAATAATCAAACTTGATCCAATATATCTGTAATGACTGCCCCCTCGTAAAAATGTCCAATACACGGCCAATTAAACTAACTCAAATTTGAGTATCGTTCATTCATATTCTCAAAACTCCTGGTTACTCATAAACGGAGTAATTTTTTTTAAAGGTAACTCAAAGACCAGAAGGTCCCGAAGATACGTGCTCAACTTTTTGGCTCAGTTCTGGTACTATATTCAGTCCCAAGCTAATCAATGCACCCCTCGAAACATAGAAAAATCCACTAACCCCTTGACAGATAAAACTTTCATAGCGAATCAAAACAAACATAGTGTAGTACTAGAATTTCGACTAGAATGGGATATGTTATTCGTTTGCTTGGGACCAATAGGCTAGTCAAGTAGTGAGCCAATTTAAAATCGTTAGTTTCGAATTGATTGTTGGTACCCTGGTCTCTACTGTTTGCTCCGGCTGTTTGGATAAATAAAGGCAGGCAGTGAACAGAAGAACGAAAATGTCGGAAATGAAACAGTGTGATGCGTTTATTACGTTTGTAAAATCTATAAGTCAAAAAACATACACAGCTAAAAAAAGTAAAAAAAAACTTAAACTTATTGCAACTATATTTAATGGTTTTGGGAAATAATTCCTTCTTGTTATATATTCTAGTTATATTCAGTGCTCGTTTGATTGTGCTGAGCGTTATAAAATCTTCTTTTTTTTTATAATTACTTTATTTGTAAAGGCTCAATCGAATAAACTTTACAGAGCCGAGTTATCCTTTGCGTTATACATTATTACTGTCTTAAATTTAAAGTTAAAGGAACTGGACCGAGTACTCGCGGTTGTCTCGAGGTTAGTGGAGATACACAATTTTTTGGATGGGAATCGATGTTTTCGAGAGCAAGATACCAGAGAGAGCACGCAATTATTTGAAAGACGTGCAATTTGAGTAGGAGCGCGCAGAAGCAGCACAAAGAGAGCTCAATATTAGCACGAGAAAAGCTTGCCAATACTGTTTTAAAGCTGCTACTGCTTTTCAATAATTCGATTTTTTTTTAATTTTATGGCCTTAGCGAAAAAAATTACCGTGTAATTATTTTTTGCACCGGAGTCTAAAGTGGTGCCAACAGCGTACTAGAATCTATCAAAGTTTGTTTTTTTTATTCGCCGCGTCGTAGGATTCCGAGAGGGTTACGAACAGCTGCGAAACCATAGATCACATTCTTCTAGTTTTGCTCCAGCTGACTTTAGTTTCCGAATAATCTTGTCGAAAGTCTTCAAATAGTGCTTAATTGATGCATCTTCGGCCTTCATCTTCAGCTTTGCGAGTTGCTTGCGAATAAGCGTTTACGACGAAACCGACTTCTTGGCGGAGATTCTTTCCAAAGTGCTCCAAATATCCCTAGACGTTTTTTTTTTCACGAATCAAATCCAGTAAATCATCGTGGATGAAGGAGATGATCACATTCGTATCTTTTCCATCTAACTCTTGAAACTTTGCTGCTTCAGTCGTTACTGTTGGTGGGTATTTCTAAACTTCACATTCTCGAATTTGGTACCGGAGAACTGCGGGATCCCGTTTACCGATTCTCTGCGTGTATCGCCCATAACATCCTGAAGTTATAACAGTGGTTTGAATTAAGGAAGAACTATATTTTGGAACAGGTGACAACACACAGCATTATTACTTTCTTAGGTAGAATGCATTGCTCCGTTTCTGTGTTGTGAAAAAAATCGTTCCACATATGCAGAATCATCTGTAAATTTGTTCTCTTCCTAATAATTTTTGGCAGGTTTTAGCTAGCATTTCCGTACTGTAATTGTGTGGCTCGGATTGAAGATCTAAAAAAGCAGAAGCAACAACAAACTAACACGGAAGGAGATACAGTGGTGGCCACTGAAGAGGATCAATATACCATGAGCAGAAGCAAGCGGGCAGATTCGTATCGTCATTGAGAACATTCAAATTCATAATAGAGAGCTTATAGTACTTACTTACTTACTTAACGATCCTCTGCACCTCCAGGGGTGCAAAGGGCGTTTGTGAAAGATTTCCATCCTGGGCGATTACTAGCTAGGGCCTTGACCTGTATCCAAGTCAAATTTCGGTCAACGTTCTCAATTTCACTGTTTAGGCTCTGCCGCCACGAGCCTCTGGGTCTGCCTCTGCTGCAATGTCCTGCTGGATTCCAGTCCAGTGCTTGCTTGCAGATTTCGTTTCCGCTCCGTCGTAGTGTGTGGCCGACCCACCTCCACTTCCGTTCACGAATTTCTGTCTCTATCGGCTTCTGATGGCACAAACGATGAAGCTCGGAATTTGAGATCCAATTGTGGGCCACCAGGTACGAATTATGTACCACAGGCATCGGTTGATAAACACCTGCAGCTTCTGAGTGTTCTCCGCTGATACACACCATGTTTCACTGGCGTATAACAGCACAGACTTCACGTTCGAATTAAAAATTAGGATTTTGGTACGTCGACTGATCTGATTCGCTCTCCATAATTTTCGCAAACTGGCAAAAGCAACCCTCGCCTTCTTAATCCGTGCACCTGTGTCGCTATTTTTGCCGCCGTCCGACGCTATCTGGCTGCCAAGATATTGGAAGCTTTCGACTTTCTCCACTGCCTGCCCAGCTACCGTGAAATTGGAATGGTTTTCCGTGTTGACATCCAACGATTTGGTCTTGTTGACGTACGTGGTAAGACCTGCTTCAGAGGAGTGTTCCACAAGGTCGTCGAGCTTACTCTGCATGTCAGAGCGCCGTTGTGCTAATAAAGCAACATCATCAGACAAATCGAAGTCGTTGAGATGCTCCATGGTAATAGGCTGCCACAGCAACCCACGGTTCGGTACACGGTCAACGGCTCCAACCATGATCCTTGCCTCACACCCGCGATTACCCGAATCGGGTCAGACAAAGCTCCGTTGTGCAACACTCTGCATGAGAAAGCCTCGTACTGCGCTTCGATGAGGTTGACGATCTTATCAGGGACTCCATTGCGTCTCAGAGCGCCCCACAAGCTTTCGTGGTTTAGTCGGTCGAAAGCTTTTTCGTAGTCAATGAATACCAAGTACAGGGACTTTTGGAACTCATTGACCTGCTCCAAGATGATGCGGAGCGTGACAATATGGTCCACGCAGGATCTTCCAGCACGGAATCCTGTCTGCTGTCGTCGAAGAGTCTTGTCAATCTTCTCCTGTATCCGATTGAGGATAACTTTACACAGAACTTTGAGAACAATACACAGTAACGTGATGCGTCGCCAGTTGTCGCATACATTCGGATCCCCCTTCTTGGGGACTTTTACAAAGACGCTCTGCATCCAGTCGGCCGGAAAAGTCGCGGTGTCCCAGATATTGACGAATAGTTGATGCAACATTTGTGAGGATAGCATGGGGTCAGCCTTGAGCATCTCTGCTGATATGCGATTGACCCCCGGGGCTTTGTTGGACTTCATACTTCGGATGGCTGCTTCTATCTCCTGCAATGATGGAGCTTCAGTGTTGACACGAGTAACGCGCCTCACCCTTGGCGGATCATGCCGAGATGTTGATGGTTGGTTGACCGTTGAAACTTCGAGAAGTTGTTCAAAGTGCTCAAACAAACGTTTCAACTGGTCAGGCGTCGGTGAAACATCATAGAGGAGGCGGATATCGCCGGTTGCTGCGGATTTCTCCCCTTCATCAACCAGGGAGTCCACCCACGCTCGCTTGTCCCATATACAGGAGCGCTTAACTTCCCTCTCTAGAGCCGAATACCGTTGACGGGCCTCGTTCTTGGCTTCTTGCTCGCTCTATCGCGGCTTTTGCTTCTCTCCGCTCCTCAATCTTCCTCCAGGTTTCATCGGTGATCCACTCCTTCCACTGAGTGCGCAGCTCACCCAGGTTGTTCTCGCTTGTTTCAATAAAGGCATTCTTGATGCTCGTCCACTGTTCTTCTACGGTGCCACCTTCCGGAATATTAGCTGCGCGAGCCTCGAGTTCTTCGACGAACGATCTCTTCACTGCTTGGTCTTCCAGTCGGCGTGATTGAATCGCCGCCCGAGTCTCTCCTCCCGCCGTTGAACCCGCGCAATGCGTAGGCGGATCTCACCGACCAGGAGATGATGGTCAGACGCGATGGCAGTGCTGCGTTTATTCCGAACATCAAGAAGGCTCCGTCTCCATTTTCGGCTGATGCAGATGTGGTCGATTTGGTTCTCTGTATATCCATCACGGGAGACCCATGTGACTTTATGCACTGGGCGATGGGGGAAGAGCGAACCCCCGATCACCATGTCGTTGTTGCAACAAAACTCTGGTAGTAGCTCGCCGTTCCCGCTCATTTCTCCGAGACCATGACGTCCCATAATGCGCTCATAGTCCGGAGTTGTCGGAGCCGATCTTCGCATTGAAGTCGCCTGTGTAGATTTTGACAGCAGGGTTGCTTCCACTCACTTGCTATACAACATTATTTTTCGGAATAATGAAATCATAGGATGAAATAATGGTCTGTTGTACTTGCAAGTATCAAGAAGAGGGTGAAAAGTGTGTGTTTGACTCATAAAACCTGTCAATTTTGCTTTCAGAGCGTCACAATCAGCGATCTTATGATTCGTGAGCGTTCACTCAGAGTGAGCGCTCACGAATCGTAAAATCGCTGATTGTGACGCACTGAAAGCAATATTGACAGGTTTTATGTGTCAAATACATACTTCACGACCCCTTCTTTCAACCTTCAAGTACTAATAACCATTATAACATCCAATGATTTCATAATTCCGAAAAACAATTTTTTATAGCAAGTGAGTGGAAGCAACCCTGATTGACAGTAAAAGTTCTCTTTGTCCTGCAATTCGGCAGCATCGGTTGGCGCATAACATTGGATTATGGTGAGGTTTCGGACCCGTGTTCTGAATCTGGCAACGATTATTCTCTCATTGATAGGTTCCCACTTGATGAGCGCAGTCTGTGCTTGGGCGCTAAGCAGAAAGTCAACTCCACGATGTCGCGGTGCGTTTTCACCTCGCATACCACAATATGAAAGTACCTGTCCCGAAGGCAGCTTGTGTTCTCCAAAGTTCGGCCAGCGGACTTCACTAAGTTCCAGGATTTCTAGCTTCATACGGCGGGCCTCACTGGTTATGCCAGGTTACCCTGTTGGGCTAGCGTCAGTATATTCCATGTTCCAATTCTTGTCCGTTGTTTAGCGCTAAAAGTCGTTGCCATAAAATCAGTCCGTAATCTTTCACTATAGGTTTCCCTAACAATTTGAAGGTTTCGGAGACAGTAGGTGGTTGGCCTAAGGTCTCCTATCCACCGTGATGGGACTGCCATCTCGGGTATAGCTTTCGGGGAGAAGCATTTCGTATTCAGCTGCTGGATGCCAGTCAGACGCTGGATGCGAGTCAGACGCTGTTTGAGCCGCCCCTAACATGGAGAACAGACGCTCGGGTTTTGTAAGCCACAACCAAAGTTCCCACCGGAGTTGGTTGCCCGATCTTCCCTAAGGTTACGCGTACCCCAGCCGGTGCCACGGGGAGGAAGGGATAGGAGTTACTGGGCAAGAGGCTACCCAACTAACAATTTTAGCTGCAGATTAGCTTATACAGCCAAAAAATGGCTTATACGGCTAATATTTGCCTGTATAAGCTAGTCTGCAGCTAAAATTGTTTGTTGGGTAAGGACCACTTTCACTTGCGTGACGGGTCTATTTTGCTAGTCTGTGTTGCAATACTTTTCTAAGCGATTCCATGCTTATGACTGGTTTTCACGTGATTCCTAACTTTTCAAGTCTGGTTAACTTCATATTCAAGTCATTCCAAACTTTTCAGTTTGAATCCACTTCATTTTTAAGTTATGTTTCAGGTCTGATTCACTTCACATTCAAGTGGATCTAAACTGTTCAGGTCTGGTTCACTTCAAGACCAACAAATGAAATGGCCTTAATTCCATTTTGTAAACAAACCTTGTAAGGCCATTTTCTCGCGAACCGAAGTCCACAAAGGCAAACCAACAGAATGAACAGGTAGGGGAAATTCTCCTCTACCCGATTGTGGTTTAGGTTTTCGAATGAAGGTCTCGGTTCGCGAGAAAATGGCCTTACAAGGTTTGTTTACAAAATGGAGTTAAGGCCATTTCAATTGTTGGTCTTGACTTCATATTTAAGTGATTACAAGCTTTTTAGGTCTAGTTCACTTTATTTTCAAGTGAATCCAATATTTTCAGGACTAATTCACTTCATATTCAAGCGATTTCAAACTTCTCAGATCCGGCACATTTCAAATTTTTTAACGCACGCTGGCGCCACGTAGTGACATATTTCCAAAACAAACTAAGGCACTATCCGCTTAGCCAGGATCTTCTGAACAACTTTGCTGAAGACTCGAACTTTATATCAGATCGGAATCACGAATTACAATAATTTAAAAAATGCTCGATTTTTCATGCACACTAGCGCCACGTAGTGATAGAATTCCGAATCAAACTGTCTACCTAGCCGGTGGTGTAGTGGTAAGCGTGATTACCTTTCACCCCAGCAGGCCTGGGTTCAATCCCAGTCGGCGCCGCCGGGATGTTCTGAGGCATAACATCTCTGATCATGCCTACCTTCGGATGGGAAGTAAAGCCGTTGGTCCCCGGTTCATGAGTTGATGGGTCGATAGGTAGGGTACAGGTGTGGGAGCTGCCTTCCTGGCACGTCGGTAGCATTGGTGCTCAGCACGGAAAACAAGATCGACGGAAAAAAACAAACCAAAGGAAAAAAAAAAAACTGTCTACCTTCTGATCGCCCTTGGCCCTTGGTATTTCCCAGGGAACATTTCATAACATCTGTTAGGAAAATTTTATCATTCTTTTTGATCATTTCTATTGTTCTAAGTGTAACATATTTAAATAGGCTGGTAAAATTTTACTTATGTATCGTGCGGCCACATTTTTTGACGTAGGACTACATCTGTGATTTATATATGGGGGAACACTTTGTGAAAACCGAAAATGGAATATGTAACAAAATTATGAAAGATTTTGAACGTTAATAACTAAGCTGCCCCTGAACCAATTTCAATAATTTTTTCATCAATCGATCAGAAATATGTCTACGCATCTGCTAAATTTAAGACTTTATCATTTTCAAAATGTCACTATTGAACATAACACGAATGTGCAACTGTTCCTATGACCATTAAAATTATCATCGATTGCCTGCAAAACGCGATTTCCCTAACAAAGATTTCAAAGTTGAATTTCATCCGGTTTCACCAAACGGTGTTTATTCAATCACCGCGTGGTGAGTGGTGGTGTTCTCCAGTACACAACGAAAGGCTGCCTGCAAGCAGCGAGCTGCAGCCCACAAGACCATAAATAAAACGTGGAAGAAGCCACACCGCTATTGGTCTGAATTAGTAGCTCTTCGTGAGTCGCTGTGGGTCATCTATGTCAAGTGCGTCATACAAAAGAGTATAAACAGAGAGAACCCTGCTCAAATTCTTATTCCTACACAAAACACAAGCTCCTGCTGCAGTTAACAAATAAGATTTATTATATAAGACCTCGTAGTCCTACGTCACCATTGCGTACAACCCCATAGGGTTGCCCTTGTAGTTTCTTATAGAACATTTCAACTTAAGTATTGACAGATCTGACTGTTTTGAATGGGGTAGTTGTTGAAAATTTATTGAACTTCATGATTAAAAATTGGGCATAGGAACATTTTCCCGTTGGAAACTAAAATGCCATATGCCACTGATCGAAGATTGCAGTTAAGTCATCTTTCAAGGCTGCAGGTTTAATCAAGTATTGATATGAAGGTCTTTTAATCTTCAGATCAGAAAGGGATGATTCTAAGATGACATCCATTATTGAGCGATAGGGGTCCTACAATTTATGAAATTAGTACGTGTAGTACGTGTGATACCGGGGTCAGGGAGTTTGGTAGAAAACAAAACATTTGTGGACGTCTCATTTGAATCTTGAAATTAGGAAAGCCTTCGGAATTCCTCTTCAATTTCAACATATATTATTATGCTTGTTTGTTCAGATATTAATCACAAATCAATGAACTTTATTTTTTTTCAATTCCTTCGACTTGTAACGTTCCAACTGGAACTCATGCCTGTTTTCAACTTAAAAACAATTTGTTTTATCCCTTATTCCATTTCTAGCAGAATACTATGATTACCGAAGAAATCCCCAGGACTACCCATGGCAACCCTCGGGGTACCAATGGCAATCATTGGAATACCAATGGGAACCGATAGAATACCAAGGGCAACCCTCTGATTATCAACCCTATGACTATCAACCCTATGAGTATCAACCCTATGACTATAAACCCTATGATTATCAGCCCAGTTACTCCAACTACTACTACTACCCATCCTACGAGCTTTCGGTGCCGTACAGTCACGACACCACGAAATCCAAACTACCTTACGGTGAAGCCCAACAGCTGCTCCAAGTCTACCGAGTCATCCGAGTGATTGTCGTGTTCCGAGATCCAGTTCACAAACCAGTAACCTCACTGGATCGACTGGTCCATGAACTAACGGATGAAGCGCTGCAGCAAAAGCTCGTCGAGCTCCTTCACAACGTGCATGGGTACAAGGAAGTGGCAGAACTAAAAAACGACCCAGCGGTAAAGTTGAAGAACTCGTTTGTCAACGACTATCGGCGCTTGCTTTTGGCCATCCAGCGGGCATTGAATGCGCTTGATTTGAAGGCCGAATTTGACGACGATCTCTGCGAGAAACTGCGGAAGCTTAGAGATCAAGCAAATGCATTGACGGTGGAACAAATCGAGGCGGAATTGACACGAGGTTTGAAGGGTCATGCTAAGGAAGCATTGGTTTCGGATGTTCTGGAAAATCTACTGGGTGAAGTGGAAACTAAGGATCTGGAGGTGTTCCATGAGAACTATGATGTAGTGGTGGAAGGTGAGGACGACGATGAACCATTGGATCTGGATAAGGTGGAAAAGTACCTGGTCGTGATTGATGAACCCGAGGAGAAGCAAAAGCAGCAGGAGCCGAAGGATCGCCACGAGATTGATGACGAGGATCTTGAGGATTTAGCCGCAGCTTTAGAACTGTATTTAGAGGAGCAAAAGATCGCGGAATCCAATCTGGTCAAGGAAAAGAGTACAATTGGGCACGATAAGACAGTAGAACCGGATACAACTACCCTTAGCACTACAACGGTTTACACTACTACTCACGCTCCACTGATCCCAATCCCAGCGGAAGCAACCAAAGACACTTGGTTGGGTTCACTGTTTGGTAACGGTAATCTCCTAGCCGGACACTACGGTAGCCCAAATCAAGTTCCAGAATCGCAGAAGCTACCGTACCCAATCGACGTGAGTCAACCGGCTGTCCTAGTTGAACCGGAAGAACTGGAAACTAACAAACTGGACAGCCAGAACGTTTGGGTTCATGTGGAAAATCCGGACAACGAACCGCTGGACTTTGATATTGATCAGCGATTCCAGAGCCTGTCTACGACTGCAGCAAGCGCCGACAAGACGAATGCAGCTACCCACTCCGTTCCGCTGTGGTTGATCGAGAACTCCAAGAACCAGAAGGTTGAAAACAAACGTAATAAGATTTGGGCGTTATGCGAGAAAAAAATGTGTGATAAATTTGAAATATTTTTTTTTTGTAGAGATGGAACTCAAGGACATCGTTGAGGGTCAAAATGCACATCGAGATGAATTGCAAAAGCAGCTTCCTGATGATGAGGATGAGCAGGAGTTTGACCATAGGGGTAAAGTGTTGAAATTTTAAATTGAGGATAGTAGTAGTTTCATGATTAATATTTGGTTCGCAGAAATTGAATTCGAGGATACAATTGAAGGCCGCACTGAGGGGGACGATGAATTGTTTCTAGAGCTTCCGGAAAACAGACGTAATATATTTCAGAGTATAATCAAATGATGGATGCTTCAAAACTGTAAACATTTCTTACAGAAATTGAAGCTGAGGATATCACTGATAAAGCATCCACAGGAGAGGCTCGAGAGATTCCGGTTGACGAGGAAAAACTCCAGACAGTCGAAGAAGAAGGTAGATTTTTCAATACGGTTTAAACATACTTTACTAACGACATACCATTTTAGGACCCGCCCGATTCAACCTCCCGGTCGACTTATCTGATCACCAGAAACTCAACGCTATTCCAGAACCGGTTCCGATCGTTGAACAGCAAGAACTCCAACGACTGGATGTGACCACGGAATCTTCTGCTACTCCAGTAGCGATAGTTGACCAAATCACAACGCTCAACAATAACGAAGTGCACACGGAAAGTGCTCCGGTTGAATCCAGGGAAGAGCCGACCTCCGTAACTCAGACAGGTAAGTCCCTACAATCGGTCACCGGAATGATAGATTTCTACAATTGCATTTAAAAATACTTAACTGATAACATACACTTTTAGGACACACCCTGGTTGACTTATCTGGTCACCAGCAACTTAGCTCCACACCAGATCTGGCTCCGATCGATGAACAGCAAAAGCTCCAGCGACTGGATGTGACTACGGAATCTTCTGGTACTCCAGTACCGGCAGTTGACCAGCTCACGACGCTCAACATTTACGAAGTGCACACGGAAAGTGCTCCGGCAGAATCCAGGGAAGAGCCAACCCCCGTAACTCAGAGTGGTAGATTCTTACAATTGCATTTAAAAATACTTTACTAATAACATACACTTTTAGAAAACGCCCGATTCAACCTCCCGGTCGAGTTATCCGGTCACCAGCTACTCAAATCTACTCCAGAATCAGTTCCGATCGTTGAACAGCAGGAACTCCAACGACTGGATGTGACTACGGAAGCTGCTGCTGCTCCAGTAGCGACAGTTGACCAGCTCACAACGCTCAACGTTTACGAAGTGCACACGGAAAGTGCTCCGGTCGAATCCAGGGAAGAGCCAACCCCCGTAACTCAGACAGGTAAGTCACTTCAACTAACCTTCAAGAGTAGTAGATTTTTTACAATATGCGATTCACCCCGTGCGTTTAGCTACGTCGGAACCTGATGCTCGACGCTTCGTCAGGGAAGAGGTCTTGAAAGTCCTGAATCTGCTGGAAGAATCCAATGGGTTCACGGAACTGAAGGAGCGCATTACCGAGCAAGATTTGAATAAGCTAGTTGATGAGTTAAGCCGCATGCAAGTGGGCATCAGGTGGACTGAGATGATTAGTGCCCTGCAGAAGTTAGTCGCGATCAAAAATCTGGACAATGGAGACCGGGTAGTGGAAATTCTAGAACATTGGAAGGAAGGTGAAGAGGGACATTTGGATGATGGGTACTTTGACAGGACTTATGGGAAGAATGAGCCGGCGGAGAATCGTCAGATTCAAGAGGAAATTGACGAAGGAGGTATGGAATTGGGTCAATGGCAAGCGGCGACGATTGAATCCAGAGATCTGGAAGAAGATGATACAAAGCGAGTTCTGTTCATCGATGATAAAGACAATTACTTCGATGGGGCATACGAGCTGAACAACAAAACCGTTAATCAATCTGCTCCCTTGAATGGATCGGAAACTCACAACGCAACTCATGCTCAGCTCCAGAATGCAACAGCGATTGAAGCTGGGAACTTCATAGCAGAAACCCCCGTTGAAAGTAGAAATCCTCGGATTGTCAACGCAGATGACAACCAGAATGAACTCAAGCATTCAACTCAAGACCCACCTGTTATCGACCAAACATCAGTTCCACACACCCTACAAGCGGAGGAGGTCACCGACAAACTGGAAGTGACAACTCCTCAGCCATTTCCCGCCAATGAAGCGTAACCTATGGCGCTGGATTGAACTAGCACTGACGAAAGCGCTGACGGGGGTGGAACCGTCGAGCAATCAGAATCTTAGCATCGCAGCCTAGAGCAATTCCCTTGTACAGAAATTAACCAATTTGTAAATAAAGACGACTCCGATTAGGTTTTAACAGCATTCTTTGTCACAAACTATTCCAGATCAATCCGAATTCAACTCCGCGCTGCAGTTCCGCCCCGTAGATATTCGTCATCCAGAAATGTCTCACCTTGTGCCGCACATAATTCACCAACTTCGACTGGGGAACGTATCCGAGCAGGAACAGCTAACCTTGGCGGCAATCTTTGAAGATCTTTGGCCTCTGATAGTGGAAGAAGCCTTCCGGCCTAGCAGCAGCAGCAAGAACGCATGAAATTCCAAATGGAAGGAATTCGAGAACATTTAGATTATCTCTCTCCAGGGGACCGTTAATGTGTTGGTGATTTTTTTTTTCCGAAATAGACAAAGTTTTACAGTCGGACTGCAATTTTGTGCAGCCTTTCTTTTCTTGTGCCTTCGTTGACGTAATTACACCCCAGAGTAGTAATGTTGGTCTTACCTGCTCTGTAAATGTTATCGTTTCAAAATATGTTGAAAGAGTTGAGTGGTTCAGTTACTCAATAACATCCAATCGGTTCGGATCCTGAAACAGAAATGGCTTTCAAAATAATTGCTTGGATAGTGATTCTTCTGGTGAGCTTTGATTTGATTCGAGCAGCACCCACGTGGTACAATCAAGGTGAGATTAGACTTCAGAATAAATCCTTTAAACAGTCGCTCTAAATTGACCTTTACGATCACAGAATCGTGGAACTACGGTCCGGATCTAACCTACAAGGACTATATGAAAAAAATCGGAGCGTATCCGAGGCGCTTTCGTTATGGAACACGAGCCGATCCGGTGCAGAAGGATTACGGCAGTTGGTTTGATCCGTATCCCAGTTGGTCAGTATATGAGCCAGTGACGGCGCAGCCTTCGCAGCAGCATCAAAGCAATTGGTGGCCAAGCAATTGGAACCAACCGGGCTACATAAGATACAATGATGCCTATGAGCAGCATGCTCAACAGCAGGCACATCAAATGGAGCAGGATGTGGCGGAGATTCTGTGGAGATGGTAAACGGGGATGGTGCTGTGCTGTTGTTGTATATTTATTTTTTTTCAGTGGAGGTGGTTTAAATAACATGTAATATTTGTTATGGCTCAATGAATAAATTTCCTTATATCCTTAATAGTGTTGATTTTGTTTTTTTTTTATTTGAGAAATTTCCGTCCAAAAATTTGAATGAATGGTACAGCTTTCCCCCGAAGAACGCGTTACCCACTAAGTTCTGTTCATCGCTTTTTCTCGGCGGGTTTTCAACCATTCGCTCTGATTTTCTGCGAGTGACTAGTTTGACTCCAATGACACTACTAACATGCAAAAAATCAGACCGACTGGTTGAAAACCCGCCGAGAAAAACTGGTGGATAGAACGCAGTGGGTAACGTGTTCTACGGGAGATAGCTGTACATTAGGGTTTATCATTTAGCAAAAAAGTATTATTTTTCTTAGAGGCCATCCTCCAGTTTGATCCATAACCCCAAAATGTGCGTCTGTACAAAAGATGGTAAAGATTGATGAAGGTTTAGAGGTCGCGTAAACGTTTTGAAGCTTGTATGGGAATTACTATGGATTTAGCATTTTAAATTTCACATATATCGTTCTGACTGTTGTACAAATGCTGAAAAAAATAATAATATGCGGTTGTTATGCCAATGGCCAATAAGCCTATTGTTGTTATAGTCAGTTTGGCAGCAATTCGAGAATGATGAAAATACCAAAAAAAAAAAAAGAAGTAAGAGGTTGTATCCAAGACACGACCGTAGATTTGACGTAGGATTACGAAAGGTAGTTTTGGTATCACAGAAAAAGTAAAGCATATATTAAATTGATTTCTTAACTCGTTATCAATGAAAAAATCGATAGGTTGAAATTTGGAAGCAATTTGAGAGTTCTGTTGTGAGGTGCTCATGTAGTATACGCCAATCCTGGACGATATCCCAGGAAACCAGTAAGCACTGTAATAAGCGTTAAATTTAACATATAACGGCTTTTCAAAGCCTATAAGCTGTGTATCAGTTTTTCTAATGCTTGTAGGCACTACGAACCTCAAGCAATAAACTAGACCATGTATCGGTATTTAACGCTTTTTTTTATAGAGATTATTAGCCCTATTGCTATAAGCCGAATACGGTTGTCACCATATTCGTTTTAAAGCTGACATTCTTTAACATTTAACAAAAACAAACATTTCCAATCAAAACAAATATAGAATGGATGGAAGTGAGATTTGGCAAAAGTTCCTTAAAAGTGGAAGTTACAGACGACAGTTATCAAAGTACAAACGTTTAGAGTTGAATAATAATTGTAAGCCATCGAATAGTTACAGCTTCGCTACGGAATCGAGCCTGAAGGATAAAAAAATTGAACAGGTGTATGCAACCGTCGAGAGTAATCGAAACGATAATGTTGAAGCAGAAGTGTATGACAAATACTCTAACTACGAGCTGGATGTTGAAGAGGTCTTTGAACCAACACTGGATTATAGTACAGAAGAAGCATCAAATTCTCAAGAGGATGATACCAATAATACTCTGAGTTTAGCCTCTTTCATTCAAAATTGGAGCTTGGAATACAAAATCCCTCACGCTGCTTTAAAACCATTGCTAAATCGGTTATATATCGTAGATCGAACGCTACCCACAGATCCACGTAGGTTGCTTGGAACCCATCATAAAGAACCAGATCTAGTCAAAATTGAAGGTGGCCAGTATGGGCATCAGGGATTAGGTAAAATATGTCCTTTTTTGCTTAAAACTTCACTAACACTTTTTAAAATCCTAAATTACAGATGCATGTCTACGTCGAGTGTTTTGGGATCTCAATCAGTCACGATGTATTTCTATTAACTTAAACATAGACGGGCTACCGCTATACAAAAACGGCACCGATCAAGTATGGCCAATTTTGATGAATATTTTCGATTTACCAGAAATGAAGCCAATGATCATAGGCATATTCCATGGTAAAAGCAAACTTAAATTTGTTGAAGAATTCCTGAAGCTGTTCGTGGATGAAGCTGAACCAATTTTGAAATCCGGAATCTCTATCAACAACAATCTGTTATCAGTCAAAATCAGAGCATTTATCTGTGATTCCCCCGCAAGGGCATTTATCAAAGGTAATTACTCAAATTGATTATCTAAATGTAAGGGTCATCATTTCTTACTTGCAGGTTCAGTGAACTTTACTTCGTTTCATGGATGCTTGAAATGCATCACTGTTGGAGAACGTTCTAATGATCTGCCAGTAAATATTTTTCCTGTCACAAATGCCTCAAAACGAACAGATGAAGGATATCGTAACAGATCATATGGTGAACATCATCAAGTTTACAAAGTTCGAGAAAATGGAAAACTTAAACAGATATTCGTCGCAACGCCTCTTCGCCGTTTGCCTATTGACATGGTTGAAGAGATAATTGTGTCAGACTCGCTGCATCTGTTACATTTAGGAATTACAAAAAAAACTGTTGAAAATTTATAAAGAAGGCCAACCACACAAGGTGTTCAAAAAAACACCACCGAACGCATAGACACCATATTAAGCAACATAAGGTTGCCATCAGAAATACATCGCAAAGTGCGAGGATTGCGTTTTCTTTGCCATTGGAAGGCATCAGAATGTGCCTCATTTCTAAATTATATAGGGATAGCACTACTCAAATATGTTGTTGATAAGCAACAATACGAAAATTTCATTAACTTGTTCTATGCCGTCACAATTTGCTCGAACGAATACTATAAAAATATCTACCTGTTGCTCAGAACCTTTTTATAAAATTTATTGAAAATTGCAGCAAGCATTTCCGTATCATTACAAGTAACACACATAACCTAGTCCACATTGTAGATGAGGTTAAAAGATTTGGTCCTTTGCCAAAAATATCTTCATATCCATTTGAAAACCATTTGTATCAAACCAAAAAGATGTTTCGGTCTGGGCGATTGCCTTTGAATCAAATAGTAAACAGAATTTCTGAGAAAAATCAGGACCCATTTTGCAAAAGCCAGATTGATCGATCATATCCTATTATGAAACAACCTTCAAAAACTGATAATGCAAATTTTATGTGTTGTATATTACATGAAGGATTCACATTAACAAGAAATTTTAAAGATTAATGGTTTCTATCAAAAGATAAAACAGTTGTGGCAATGAATTTTGCGAATGAAAACGGTTGGCTGGCTCAGAACTAAAACATTTTGAACCTCATATTCAAAGTCCATTTTCGTCGGATGTATTTTATAATTTCAGAACAAAATCACGTAATGATTTCAACCCATGTAAAGTTTATCCATTTAATGACATCTTTTGCAAATTAGTTGCAATACAAATTCGTGAATAATGTGTTTTTGTATATTTTTTTTCCTTGATTTGTTTTCCGTCGATCTTGTTTTCCGTGCTGAGCACCAATGCTACTGACGCCAGGAAGGCAGCTCCCACACCTGGACCCTACCTATCGACCCATCAACTCATGAACCGGGGACCAACGGCTTTACTTCCCTTCCGAAGGAAGGCGTGAGATGTTATGCCTCAGAACATCCTGGTGGCGCCGACTGGGATTGAACCTAGGCCTGCTGGGGTGAGAGGTAATCACGCTTACCACTACACCACCGGCGCCGCTAAATGTGTTTTTGTACTACTGCATCATACGATAATATCATTTTTACATGTTTTATTTTATAAAGATCGCAATATAAATTCGTTCCATTTGAGCTTCTGTTTAGAAGATCATTTTTATATTGTTAAAAAAAAAATCCGTAAAACTTCAGCGTACAATGACGTAACTGTTCAATTTTAAACATCTCGCTGGCAAATTCCTCATAATTTTCCAAAACTTCGATCTGCCACGTCGCACTTCCGGCAGTTTTTTTCCGGTGGTCCTTCGCCAACAATCTCATCCGTGCTGCTGCCATTCTCTTTTCTTTCTTCCCCAGGATGATCTTCAGTTCTGGCTTCAGCATTCTCCAATCGCTTCCGCTTTCGTGAAACCGATTTTCTTCAGTGAACCTTTGCTTTGCATTTTTCAAGCACCGATGTAAAAAGATTTTGCAATCAGAAAGCGTATAGTTTCCCAAGTAACAATTGTGGTTTTATGAGGGTTCTGTAGACCATGATTTAGACTTGTAGAATGCTTTAAAACCTCTATAAAACTTGCAATGTGGCTTGGGTTGGTTCGGAATACACTACGTTTGGTAGAACAAGTTGATCGTTTTGTCAAACTTCATAAACGGGATTTTTTGTATCTTAGTCTCACCTTTGCCGGAAGTGCGACTAGTACCCGTCCACGAACATTTGAGCAGGAAATGACGACTAAAAAAATAGTCAATAATTTGAAGGCTCTCTGTTGCTCCATTCCCTGTATAACGGTGATGGCCAAGGATTCCTCCAATTGATGCAACCGTTGCCTTCACAAAACCCTCATCGCGGCAACTGTCCTCCAAGCTTTCAAGATCTGCCACGTTGGACGTTGTTTTCCCTTGCTGGCATTGCATAGAGGCCAACGCATCCACTTTTGTGTTTACATGCGACAACAACAATAAGCATTTTTCCAGCTTCGTTTTGATGCTATCGTTTCCTCCGGCAGACTCATCCGGCTCCGTCTGCGTGGATGAATTTTGAATCTCTGGTTTTTCAAGGCTATCCGTTCCTTCCTGCTAAATGGCTTCTAGCAATGCTGCAGCTGTGTCGTTAGTTGGTTTTGATTTTTTACCAGACATCACTGAGGAAAGAAACAAACTTGAATAATATTTTGAAAATCAAAATAAATTAATGTCAACTAAACTTACCTATCGATTTAAAAACGACACAGAGCAATCCGAACTCCAACTGACGCGATGGATCACACGGTAAACGCACCGGGAAAACGCAACCACAATCAAATCAATGCAAGTTCGAGCCTGGACCAGGTGTGCAGCAAAAAAAAATCCATTGATGGGAGGACTGCAGTAAAATTGGACGAGAATAAGATAGAGATGCGCAGAACAATGCGGTGTGATCAGTTGAAATGAGAAAGAAAGAGAAAAAGTTAAGTGAAAAAAGCCAAGCAAAAACAAAACTCTTTTTTTCTTGCCATTCTTTTCGCCTCTGAATTGTTTTGACATCACTTCATAGGTGCGGGTAAAAGGGGGGGGGGGTAGGCGATATATCAGCCGAATAATCCGCCAAAAGTGGTTTTTCGGTATGACTCAAATACAATACTGTGGCACTGTGAACTATGTTCTTTATATGACTATATAAATGAATTAGTGCCGTTTTTCATGGCTTAGTGGTTTGCTGGGATGTATTGGCTACAAGCTCTTACTCTTTAGTTAACTCTTTTATCAGTCATTTGTGGTCATGAAAAGGACCGATGGGTTGGAATCTTGGAAGTCAGTTTAGAAAAATGCTGTGGAAATTTGTCTTCGGTGTTCTATTAAGGAATTAAAAATTTGCACTGCCAATGTTGCTTTAAACATATATGGTATGCTATTTTTAAACATATGGGAAGTGACATCCGATTGATGACCTTGACAAATGTCCAAAAAATACTCTTTATCATATTTATGGTCGCCCTGAAAAGGATCGTTTTGTCGTGATGGTTTAGCAATGCTGAGCTATTTGGGTGTTCAAAATGGATGAGGATGGCGAACTGTATGTTGTTTGAAACGACTCACGAAGATGGATCCCGATCAGTATCGGTGATGTTCCTTCTTTCTTTTTCGGTGAATGGACGCTCATGTGAGCTGCAGCTCGCTGCTTGTGGGCAGCCTTTCGTTGTATACAATGTCCAACGCTACGCACCGAAAGCACTGCAGCTGCTACTGCTGCTGACGACCGACCGGACACCACCACACACGGTGATTGAATAAGCACCGTTCAGTGAGACAGGATCGAATTCGATTTTGAAATCTGTGTTAGGGAATGCACTGTTTGCAGGCAATCGGTGATTATTTTGATCACTATTGCAACAGTTGAACCTTTGTGTAATTTTGAGTAGTGACCTATTGAATATCAATAAAGTGTTTGATTTAGCAGATTTGTAACAAAATTTATAATCGATTGACTTGTTTAGAATTAAAATCCATCCAATATGGATAGAGTTGTATGTGGTCAAAACCTGACCACTTTTCGTAATGCGGTCAATTTTGGTTTTTTGAAATTGCACCCCCAATATGTTGCCGAAAGACGTAATTCTACGTCAAAATCTCAGTTGGGTTAATTTATAGGAAAATTTACGTCTTCTCCTCAATCTAAGTAGTGTCCGCACTTATATTGGCAATTTCTCAGCATCACGCATATATATGACCTGTTTATTTGTTTATCTGCTGTTCATCAACTTCATTTCGGGCCTTATTACGGGTGTCACTACACGGTGATAAGGAAGTGATACTCAGAATAAGAGCCGTGATAGCTGTACAAATCAAATGGGAATCACTTCACCACGACAAGTGACAAGTTTCCACAGTGAAGTGACATCCTTAATAAGCCTCGAAGGGTAAATTCATTTTTTTTTTCTCGATTTGTTTTCCGTTGATCTTGTTTTCCGTCGATTTTGTTTTCCGTACCAATGCTACCCGACGCCAAGGCAGCAGCTCCCACACCTGGACCTGTAAAGTATTTAGTTTCAAATGGCGAAACTTTGATTTGAAATTCGTCAATAAATGGCTGAACTATGATTTTTCAAACATTGCAAGTTTGCCGTTACACAATTTACCGGAGGGACCATGTTCAGAGTTTTAAGATAATCGATCATAGAGGATAGAACCTTCTGTCATGTTCTACGAGATAAAGTGACGAAACTGACACACGGTTGAGTATAGAACATTTATTGAATCATCTAACTATTATCATCAAGTTGTTTGTTGACCGATTTTTCTTCGAAACCGTCTTTCAAACTTTCGTGATTGGTCTATCTGACTTCCTCCTTTCTCCGATTTCAATTTGATCTGTTGTGCGCGCTCCTTCAGTAAGGAATCCGTATAAAGCCGAGCAAACTTTCGCTCGTAGTAAGCTTCCAAATTATCCAATTTCCAATCTCTGTGGGTCTGCACTGCTTTTGAAGCGTTTTCCGGAATAACTGGTAATTTGGCTATCACTGTTTGTCGAATTGCTTCAACCGACAGCAGAATCCAATTCAAATCCGCTTGTTTCAATCCATCGACGTATACGATCTGCCGATTCGGGACAGCAACCACTTTAGGAATCTCATCAGTGAGCAAGCGCCTGAGCTCATCACATAATAACAAACTGTAATCCAAGCTACGCGACTCTACTTGTTTAATCGCCAAAGTTTCACTCCGGATCGATTCCAAATCCTCTTCAACCCGAATATTCATCGTTTCGGCATCAACCAACAACTGTTTCATATTCAAAAGAATATCCTCCAAATCGCCTCCTTCCTCTCCACTGCTGAAAAACAACTGTCGCACTTCTTGATCCACAAGCGACAAAGGCTTATCCAGATTGTTGAGAAATATGAACGGATAGTTTAGGTTGTCCTTGGCCAGCTGGCCGATCAAGAGCTCCATCAACTTGTTCCGGTAAGGCTTTTCCGAGGAATGGACTTGGTTGAAACGTTGAATCCATTTGGCACAGATTGCGATTTCATTGGGATCACGAACCGAAGGGATTTGCTCCTTCAGAAGACCAAGTGAGTTCTTGTATTCCCGGTCCAGTTGGTGATGGTGGACGGTTTGGTTGGGCATTGGGGAAAACTGTAGTACAAAATAAACTGACAATACACTGTTCGAATGTTAGATCCAACGATGTCTAACGAGACGTTTGACGGGGTGCTTGGATTACTGGCGACTTTCAACCTAAGACAAGACAGGACGTCTGTCTTCTTTTTGTTCTTCTTCACAGGTTCTTCATTCGCTCCTGTAGTTCATGTTGAACATTATCCATGTTAAATCAATATTAACAGTTCATACAGAAGTTATGTACACATTTAATACAAAAAAGCTCCATTCTCATATATAACAAAATTAATGATATAGAAACTTATGAAATGAACAATTCATTATTCAAATTTTTAAAATTGGGATTACCTTTGGCCGCTTTCTTGTTGGTTCAATACATTCAAACGCGTTCAGCAACGTTTCGTGTCTGATTCGCAGGTTTTCCTGTCTCCTGGTCTCTCACGCGCTTCCGATAATCGCGGAGATATTTAGCAGCCATGTGTTGAGACATTTTGAAGATTTGAACAGAATTTTTCAATAAACACTTGTTTCACTTCTAATATTAACTCTATCCAACGCGAAGTGTAAACACTGAAGCACTTACTGTACCAATTGGAAATTACAGATAATGCTACAATGCACAACCACGATGGTGTTTCAATATGATGTCTGTGTTTGGGAAACAATCACAAAATAAAATTTTGATTGCCTTTATTTTTGCACATGCCGGTAAGCTGCACAGACGCCTCCCATCATGAGTAGTTTGCTATCAAGTGCTCCTTTTGTGTAGTTTGTCAATGTCAATACCTTGAAAGCAAAGAGCAATTGAGTGCCAACATTTCAAAGGGGCGTAATTGCATTTGTAAACAATGGCTTTAGCCGTCGATTTCTCGCGAATAAAAGCTTACTCATGAAAAATAATGACACCAGCAGGTAGAGGAATGTTTCCTCTACCAGCTAGCATTGTTATTTTGGAGAGGTAAGGTTTCATTCGCGAGAAATCGACGGCTAAAGTCATTGTTTACAAAAGCAATTACGTCCCTTTGAAATGTAGGCACTGAATTAACGAGTTTTTAACGAAACATGAAGAGAATCGATCAAAATCACTTGCACCCCTGCCTCCAAGCTTGGTTACAAAATTTCAACTTTGGAGGAGATTTTGTGTGGTCGTTGGGGACGTGTGGTTCTGAATATGGATAAACAGGCACATATAAATTCTATTCCAACTCTTTACTGTAATAAGCTTGTTGGCCCTGAAAAGGGCCGTTTTGTTGCCAGAGTGCGTCTCTGTCGCTTCAAAGTGTAGATGATATCCATGGCCGCTTACGTTTGGAGTGTTGTTTTTTTTTTCTCTGTTCGGGACCTAACACTACTGCGACCAGTAAATTGATCTATTGTAGCATATCCCGTGTCCTTAGTTTAGTGCATGTCGTATTACTCCATCACAACTGAGAAATGATGAAGTATTCGATTTTTTTTACAGTTGCCACTCTTGCATTTATTGCAAGGATCCGACTCTAATTGAAAGGTCCTGCTATTTATACCCTTCGGAGTGTTGAAACACTCTCCAAAGGCGCGCCCCTTTGTCAGTCAAAATTGGATTCCTTAGCAACAAATTTAAGGTATGACACCGATAATGACCATGCATCAGAACCCTAGTCTTAACCACTTCAAACTAGGGAACAACGAAGAGAAGATTAGGAATCACATAGATGAAGACAACTAACTCTTGTTTCAAGATCATCCTCGGTAGACAAAGCCGAGTTTTGTCACTATCAACAAGGCATAGAAAGTAACAAGGACTAAGATGTGTTCCTTGGATTACTGAAACATCCTGTTCACGTAGTTTGAAGTAGTCAGGACTAGGAATCGGTGGTAGATCTTACATCCCGTAACGTACCACGAAAAGGTGATCTACCCACGTTACGGGGCTTTTCAGTGTAGGTGACAGCATAACGGATCTCATTTTCTAGGAACACCTTCAACACACCTCGTAGATCAGACCGGAGATACGTTTGACACCGCCACGGCGAACCAGACGACGGATGGCGCTTATCACGAATAACCTTGCGATGACGCTTGGCGGCTTCTTTACCAAGACCTTTTCCTCCTTTGCCACGACCAGTCATTGTTGCTTGCTGGGTAGAAGAGTGGACTACCTAACCTGCCACCACCTCCCTACTGCTGCTATTGCTGCTTTTACTGCCTGGTTACCACGCCGTCCGAAATGCCGCGAAAATGAGTTGAGGGTAGACAGCAGCGCTCTTTTATATCTTTTTAGGTTAAAGCAGAATGATGTGCAACCAAGTGGCATGCGATTATGACGACTGGGTTTGGGAAGAACGTTTATTTCATGAAAACAGTGATAAAATTATCTCTTTTTATTCTTATTTATATTTGGCATTACAACTTTTCCAATAGTTTCCTGTTGAAAATAATCAGTCGAAAGTATTGCTATTGATGCGTGTGAAATACTTATGATCGATTGGTGATAAAATTATTGAAATTGGTCCAGGGGCAGCTGAGTTATTAAAGTTGAAAATCTTTCATAATTTTGTTACATGTTCCATTTTCGGTTTTCACAAAGCGTACTCCCATATAGAAATCACAGACGTAGTCCTACGTCAAAACATATAGGGTAGGATGGTGCAAAACGCACCCTTTAAGCAAAATCGTCAATGGTTGGCGAATGGAAGCTAAAATCAAGAAGAAAGTAATGGCGTTTGGTTCATTACCATGTTTTCTACAAAGATCGAGTGATTTAGAACCACAAAAGGATGATTTTCCATGGCTTTCAAGGTATTTTTTAAATTGCTTCCAAAATGATAGCGGGGCAAAACGCCTGATTCATGATGCAATATGCACCACAACATTGGGACAAGACGCACGACAACAATGGCCAAAACGCACCACAACATTGGGGTAAAATGCACCCCATGGTAAACAAACCATAACCCCTGCAAGTAGATAATGCAAAGGGATGCGGTATTTCAAATGATTATTTCTTTATGTTACATCAGAAATAAGGTCTCAAAATCTCAATAGAATGTTAAACTGTGATTCATCAAGTAAAATATCTAAAAAATATACGAAACGTAAATTTTTTAATTTTTTTTTGTAATTTACAGTCGATGATTTTAACAACTGTGTCCTGTTTTGCACAAAATGCAATTTTTTTAAGGAATCAGTAGGGTCAATACATGATTTTATGATCAAGAATTATTTGTTAAACCTCCAGTTGAAAACAATCACAAACCGTTACCCGGAAAATGCATCTGAGGAAAAGTTATCGCTGTTTTTCTATAAGTGGGCATTTTACCCCAGGGGTGCATTATGGGCTGTTCTCCCCTCGGTTCTCCCTTACATGAGAATCGACCTACTAGCGACTGGAACATAAAATGGATTCAAATCTATACCCTAGTTGTCTCTCCCAATCTTTTAACTTGTAAGTTGTAGAAAATATTAAATTTTCTATGATCGCGTTGAGGAGGCTTGATACACTGTTGATCTATATTTTAAATTTTCTAGGGCACACATTTCAGCTGCTTTTGTAGTTTTGTGCATGAAATTGTGGCTCCTGAATTTTCGAAGTGATCGCTTTTCACAACCCTATTGTCGTGGAAAAAAATCAGCCCATGAAAAACTGAACCCAATGCTGAGTTTATCCATTTCTTGACAGTTGGTCCTTCGCTCTAGCTTTTCCTCTATCTCTCCGTTTATTTTTTTTTGTTTTGTTTTGAAATGTTTATAAATTAAATTGATAGTAGAGATATACCTACACGCGAAACAACGTGTGAACGGATACCACACAACGAAAGAAGCGCGATTCCATAAGGTTCCGATTGCCATGGCGGAAAAGCTGAGAGATTTGGTTGCGAGAGAGGAAAATTCGTTCGGATTGCACAAATACATTCAAGCATGGGAAGCTTGCAATGGTGGCTGTATGTAATTACCGCTAGTAGCAGTGTGTGGAAAATGCTCGCATTCTGATCAGAACTCAGCATGGCGGTAGTGTTGGTGTTTGTATTAAGGTGACACACAGAGAATAGAACAATGCACGATACTGGTTCAGTTCAGAGGGGATTCAGTTCAAATGTGCGTCACACATGGTGCTACTGAACCGTACACGGTGTGCCCTACCGAAAAGCACATGACCACGACCGACGATGGCGACGCGACCAAGCAAGACCGATAAACTCAGACGACACATTCGCGCAACCTAGAGGTCGAATGCTTTTCCTGATCGGGTGCACTCTGCTATGGCTTTTGGCGTTTGCCGTGTAGCTTAATTTGACTGCTGGCCTCTCCAGCTTTAACGGTAGGGTGAGCTGATGGTATGGTACAATCGCAGAGTAGGTATATGGAATATGATTGTGCACAATGAATAACCGTTGTTGCGCCGCCGTGTGCTCCGTTTTGGTAGAGAGGGGGAATCGTACACTCGAAATCGGTATTAGCTTCAGCTTTGCAATGCGTTCGACGAAATAGCGGTGAGGAAAAGTGACTCGCTGCGAGCATGAATTGCCATAGCCACCACAGCCAGCAACGCGTGTATCATTTATGGGGTGTTTACACTTATGCTTTTTCACTTGCGCTAATGAGCTAGCTGCTAGCAGAAAAGTCCTCTAGCATAATGTAAACAGGGCATCAGCGTCTACCAGCATGAACTTTCAGGAGCAACTGAAATTCGTGCTAGTTGGCTAGTACACTAGCGCGAGTAAATCCGCACAGATGTAAACACCCCATTAGGTATCTACCAAAGGAGCGAGGAATTGTATATACTGGAAACAATGTGAGCGGGAGCGAAATGAATCACGATGAAGGATGAAATCATCTAGCAGGGCGTTTGCCATACAGGACTACAGGAAAATAATCAATTATTGATTAAAAGAAAATTATTTGAATTTTCCAGGACCTCAACGGAATATTACGATTTTTAGACATGACAATCAGTTTAAAAAAAAAACAGCATTCTTTGGTGCAAGCAATGGAAATATTTACCTTATTTGACAAAACCCAGGTAATCATGACGTTTGATTATTGAAAACAATTTGAATGAA